GGCAGAGTGATCTACAAGTGCACAGGCCTGGGACACTCAGACTAGAGGGGCCCATGGGGCTAGAGCCGGGGGGCACAGGCAGGAGACAGTGAGGGTGTAGCGGTGCCAGCGTGAGAGTGGTGGGCTGCTGCAGCCCTGGAGCCAGTCCCTGCATCCAAATGGAAAGAATGGTTCTCAGCTGTGGACTTTTGAGGGCTCCGTTGGAATGGATGCACCCCAGTTGTCTCAGCAAAGAATATCAACGAGCCCTCAGACAGCCGGAAAACCAAGCGACGTGTGCTGGAAGTACAGCCAGAATGTGCCTTAGACGCGAGGGCGGCAAGGCGGCGTCTTACACTGGACACGTCATCAGGAGATTGGTCACCAGAGACAACCTCGTGCTTCCTGAAGTTCAGGGTCAGCAGGAGCATGGGAGACCCTCAGTGAGACAAACTGACGTGGCGGCCGCAGCAATGGGTTCGAACACATGACGGCTGTGAGGGGGGTGCAGGCCTGGGAGCCATTTGCTTCTGGCATCCGTCAGCTCACCGTGGGTGGGAGCCGACTCCAGGGCACCATGATTACCGAGATACTGCGCGTAGCTGATCGTGCGCGTAGCAGAGCCCGGGAGACCGGACTGGCAGCTGCTGAGCCGGTTCCGACTCGGCGCCTGGTGGCAGAGGACTGAGCTGCACGGGGCTGTCTGGGCGGCGTGTTCCTGGGAGCACATCACTGGGCCTTCTTCTGTACCACCACTGGGTGGGTGTGAACCACCAGCCTTTCTGTTAGTAATCTGTGGTGCAGCCAGCTTGGGCCATCGAGAGACCCTGAGGCCCACAGGAGGGCTCCAGAGTCTAGCCAGCCATAGATGCTTCCGAGGGTAGGAACCGGGGTGTTCACAGACCCACCTAAGCTCATCCACTGCCCCTCCTGGGAGTCGACCACACGGCGGGCCGTTCTCAGGGGGCCCCGGTGGCTCCTCTGGCAGTGGCAATGGAACGTAGTCCTTGGACCCATCATCCTTGTCATGGGAACATGTTGGATGGTTTCATAGTGTGTGGAGGTGCCATACTCGGCTCTGTGGGCAGGGCCCCGGGTGACAGACTGTCAAACCGGCTTGTCAGC